AAGGATACTGCTGCTCAATCCTTACAAATGGTGGATGGTGATGATGCGTTACGATATGCCGGTAATCGTAAATATAATACAACTGAACACCTGAATGATAGCGCTATTTCGAAAAATTCCCTGGACGATTTGATGCGTTATGGTTTGTTCAAAGCAAATAAAAACATCACTAAGGAGGGCTATCAATAATAGTCGATGCAATCGCGACATAAAAACTGGCCAAATATCGTTTCTTTCCGATGTGAAGAAATTCGAGCTCGTAGAACAAAGTTCAGGTATTGTTTGCAATTCTAAAATCAAATGTTCTCCCCTTGACGCTGCACATTACAGCGCACAATGTTCCTTCCAACTAACATCGAGGTTCAATAGATGGCTTATTGTCCATTCAAAAGGTGCAATGGATATATTGAATAGTAAATGTATAACCGGTTTTTAAGAATCGAGCGTCCAAATAGACTACAGAAGAAAAGTTACATCTCCGTTATTAATTTCTTTAATTTTCTTTGATTCTTCTTCTAAGAGTCGCCGCCAAATCACCAATCGCTGAGTTAAATAAAGAAATTTCAATGTAAACACGAGATTCTTTATTTGAACCTTAACTTAAAGTTGCCAGATGACTTGATTATAAACGTATGCAGATGTGACGTCCGCCACCTAATCCATATTATCGTTCCCGAGCTTCATATTAATTGCCTTGTTTTATTTTATATCTCGATATTGCGAAGTGAATTATTCTGGAATTTTCTTCTTCTTCAAAACATTACAAGATGATACATACAGCATAGAGTGAATACAAGTGTATAGTACTGTCTTATAAGAGAGCTGTAAAGTTGGCCTTACTCGAGCTTAATTAACGCCAAATGAAAACATTGCCCACCCATCCCTACTGACGGATCAAAGTCGGAAGTCGCAGGCAGCGGTCTCTGGTTTCCACATATTAACATCGAAGCTTATTTCTCAGATCACTTATGCAACTCTATATTTTCATCTGAACGTTTAGCGATCCTGGAAACCATCTGCTGAGTAAGTACTCAATCATAGAAGATATTCCTTATCCTGGCAAACAGTAAATCTATCTTATCCGCTTTGCGTTCTTTTCCTTCAGGTAAAACTCGCCGTTATCTGCTAGAAATCAGATTTTTACTATATAGTCTCAAATCTGATCAACATTGTTTTCATTTTCTCTGGGTGCCTAGTCACAGGGGCATTCATGGCAATACAATCGCAGATAATATTGCATCTTCCAGCCTATTACGTATCAATGATCGCGCTGTGATTTCCACTGATTTGAGATCAATCGACAAGATTTCCTCAGTCTTCCTTTAGCAACAGCAGTAGATGAATTCAAGTTATGATCGTCAGTTGTACTCTAAATATTGCACCATGGTTTACCAACTGCGGTCTCAGACCAAACGTTATGTGCTTTATTAACAAGCTGATGTTTAACGACACGAGATGCAATGATAACCTATTCAAAACTAACAGAATGAACAGGTTTTGCACTCTCTTGATCGTCTTTCATTTGTCTGTTGCTACTTCTAGTCGCCATTTCACACTTCGCAAAGTAAAACTTTATAAATTTTATCATTTATAATCTACACAACAATGTGCATACTCTAATGTCCTCGTTTAGTTTGCATTCATATGTATATTTGTGCCTTCATTAACTCGACTCCAAGCTTGATCAACGCATTTGGAGAAATTATTTAAGCAGAAAAAAGGTTATTAATCTCCTAACGCTTTTCACCATACATATAGACATTTAAGCTATTTATATTAGAATTATGATAATTAATAAAAGTAATAACAATTTAATAATAAATTATTTGATACAATATCTTTCACCAAAGAAAAAAATATAAAAATTTTATCGAATTAGAAAAACTTGAAATATGAAAACATTGAAAAAAGAAATCGTCCCTGAAGAATTTAATAAAGGTATTTCTGGTTTATTTTTACTAAAAAAAAAAACATTTTTTAATTCAACACATTACATATTAAGTACAGCGGACTCGGTATATGCACCGAGAAATGCCTTATTATCTATTTTCTTACTTACTGCTTACCTTTCTTTATTTATTTCGTTTGTTTTTCTACATCACTAAATTTATTATACGAATTTTTCTTTATTTAGTTTCACTTATTTTTATATTCGCCTATAATTGCAATAAACCATACACGAATCTTATTTAATATATAAATAATTTACATATAAAAAGATTAAAGTTTAACAGCGAAAACTAAAACTAACAAATAGGAAAGTTATATTCGTTTTAGGACAAGTCTCTAATACCCGTCATAGCACTTTTCATAGCAATTACATAAATACATAAAAACTCTTAAACTATTTTATTCATTTTAGACCTGGCAGTTAGTTGATCATTCGGAACTTTTTTACAATGACATTTCTATATATATATATAGTCTTAGCAAATTATTTTTATTAAAATTGAATTTTATACGGCTTATACATAGGTTCCAGAGTTATATTTCTTTGCCAATTACGAGCGACGAAAATGTGAAATATATTGTATTTGCAAAATAATATGAAAACAATTTTTTCTTGCATAATTTTAGAAAATAATCTCATCTGCATAGCAAGTTAACTTACAATATACGAAATTCGCAACCGTAAAGCGGAATAAAATAAAATACAATTTTAACTTGTAGATTTAAAAAAAAAAAAAAAAAAAAAAAAAAAGGACATTAGAATCATAATAGTAGAAGAGACTCGCGAGTTATCGTTTTATATTCAATTTGATGTTCGGTGGAACAGCACTGCAATAACTTTTAATTAGCATGCGAGAAAAAAGTATCACCAAAAAAGCACATATGCGAGAAAATCTCTTTGATATTAAATTATTTTGTTTAATGCATGTATACTAAACTACGTATTAGATTTAGCAATAACTGTGTAACACATAACACAGGTATACACGATCCCATATAATCGATATATTTTTGATAAGAGTATGTAGTCAAAGTGGATTTTGCCATATCTGATCACTTAGCTGTCCAACAACTTATATTACGTTTGAGATTTGAAAAATTTTTTTTGAAAACCAGATTCAGTGTTAAACTCCTTCTCCTTCAGGTTAGTTTTGAAAACTAGCAAAATCGGTTACGAATTAGAAATTTCAGTTTTTACTTTAGAATTTGAGACGGATTTTCCATTTTTACTTAACTAAATTGACGAGTAATATTCCAAAAATTGATTAAATCGGATCATCAACCATAAATAAATAAGATGAAGAATGTAACCATGGTTTTTAGTTCATTACTAACAATTACCTACAAATTCCTACCAAATCGTACAAAAACATTATCTAAAAAAATTTATGATATGTACGATACAATGTACGATCGATATACAAAGATGTTCGTTCTATCTTGCAACCGAATATTGTACACAAGCTGATGATGGGTATTAATAGATTTGATCTAAGCCAAATATAACTTCTTCTCTTCTGTTTTTTTTTTTTTGTTTTGTTTTAATACTTATTTCAGAAATTTAAAAAAAAAAATCTTTTTTTTTGTATTTTTTTGTTTTATTAAAAACATTGAGTGTTTATTATCCTAAGAAATAATATTTCAAAAACTATGCCAAGCATATACCTCAGTTTTGGCTTGAAAAGAAAAAATAAAAGCAACAAAAACAGATATTCGAAGAAAATCGTCTAAAAAAATAAAATTGAATTTCTTTTATTAGACGGCAGTTGGTTACGATCAATTTGTATTCAGTATTTATTTATTTTTTTTTATTTTTTTAAATTTTTTTTTTTGTTAATTATTTTCATAACATGTGTTTATTGATTGATTAATTTTTCAGTCCCATATATCTTGTTCTCTTTAATAATTTTTTTTTTTTTTCGATTACGGCGAGAATAAAAAAATTGAGAAAAATAAAATTAGAAAATAAAATTTGCAAACCATTCATAAAATGGCCGGATTTCCTTTAAAAAGACTACACATATCTATATATATATATATATATATATATATATATATATAATAATATACATAATTTGAACTTTATATATGTATACTTTTTTAATATCTAATAGATTTTTAAGATATTATTTCCTTCCCTTTATACACGCTTTGTACTTATATATTAACAATGACAAACTAATTATTTGGATCGACTTTCACTACAAACTCCTATAATCGTTAACAGAAGTTAGGAGAGATTTTTCAATATTTTTTCATCATTTCATCTCTTAATAAAATATATATACATTCTTAGTCAGAGGGCAAGCTTCTAAACCGTTTAACTCATATCCATTTTTTCTTTTCAGCACGTCTTTTGTCAAGTTTATTTAAAATTATTTAAAATTGAAATAAAAAGCTGAAACGTAGGATATTACGATTCGTAGTTTCTTTACTGCTTTGTTAAGTTCATAAGTGTGAGAGTTACATTCGCTTTCATGTCACGTATATCCTTCAAAAACACGAGAAAAACAAAACTTTTCAAGAATTTTTTTTTTTTTTTTTTTTACAGTAACAGCACAAAACTATCGATCCGTTTACGTAACACGCCCATAATTAACAAATTGAAGAAAAAATTTCATATATGTATATACAATTAATATATTATTAAATAATACGAAATAAATGTCTTGTTTTACGATGACAATCAATCGACTCAAGCTAAGTGCAAGATGTGTATTGGAATAATGGATATCTAGGATATCTAGGAGGATCTCCAGTGTCCTCCTACAGCAAATGTAATTGCTTTATTGCTTACTCTGCTAACATTCTTAAAACAAACTATTGCAATAACATGCAAATTATGTTATCGTATTTAAAATACTTACATTTACTTACACAAAAAAAAAAAAAAAAAAAAAAAAAAAAACAAAATTTAGCAAAAGCCTTATATTACGTTAAATTTTTATCGATCAATCTAAACACTTTGCTTAACTTAAATTTTCAATAGAGAAATAATTACATCATATAACAATTTGACGACAAAACATGTTTTACAATATTAAGGGAATTTATTGGTATTCATCATCGCTACTTAAAAGCATAGTTTTTTCATTATAATTTTGACTTATCGTTGCTACACGTTGGCCGCCCGGCATAAATTTCCGTTGATTACCCAATGTCTTTGATGCCATACAGGCCAATGCCGATGAATTATAGCTGTTAGTTAAGCTGACATTAGCACCACCACTGCTTTGACTATTGTAATTTGGATCGTCCGGATCATACGAAGAGACACGTATTCCACGTGAATTTTTACCACCTAATTAAATCGTTCGCATAGAAAATTGAAAAAAAGTGAACACAACAATACAACAAATTAAGGAATGTTTCCATTTTTTTTTTTTTTTCTTTCTTTTTCAATCCGTTATTATTATACCCAGTATATATCAATTGCTCATTGAAAAGGAATTTTATTATTTAGTCGAAAATTTCATAATTAAAAAAAAAAAATATTCTTTTATACTAAATTTAATTTAAGAAAAAACAATTAAAAATTTATTCAAAACATTGCCCAATAAAGGATTTTTGGAAAATCAATTTTTTTCTTTAAGACTGAACGACATACCACCTCCAATGTGTTAGCTTTAATGGAACGAAGGAAAAAGAGCCATCATTTCAAGCCAGTATATAAACTGTAATATATTTGACTAATTGTGAATACCACTTATTCAATCTGCACTAACGGTGGCATGAGTTCTTTTTTTCTTTTTTTTTTTTTTCTGATCCTTTGTAAAATATTCCGAGATTAAGATTTTTTATAAGTGACGTATAACAGCAGGTTATTACGAAATTGATCTGTAATCACACCAGAGAGAACTAAATACATAGAGTTATCATGAGAATTTTCAAAATACAAAAACGTAGTAAAATCGCTCGCACACATTCTTACTGAGTGTTATTGTCGTCAATAACAGTAGAGCGCTATCAATTAGCAATCATTTGTATGGGCATGCATTCTGTTAAAACGGTTACATTTACGAAATAAAAGTGCATAGCATTCTATGTTCTTAAGTGAATATGCGCCATTGCATATATGGCAAAGGATGTCCGAAAATTTACTCAAAATTTAAATTAAATAGAAAATAGGATTGGTTGGAACTATAATGTATACAGGGTAGATTTATGTGTGGAATAACATATGGGGCAAATGGCTTCCGATCACATGATCTAGGAATTCAATTTTACACATCCAGGGTATGTCCCATACCGTAGGTGAATGGTTTCATGTGATATATGGCATATGGCACTGTCTTGCTGAAACCACATGTCGTTCACATAAATATCATCCAATCTAGGCGAAAAGAACTTGGTTATTATAGTGCGCTCTCGAGATCCCAGTAACAGTCACGTCACTGTTTGATGAGCTTCACAAAGGCGCTTAAGTCCCTTGTCAAATGCTCCAATTTTACTAACCGTATACTGTCATCTGTCGTTGGCTTGTCAACACTTTACCGCACATGTTGGCAATTGCAAATCTTGCGTAAATTTTAAGGTACCCTACATAAGTGTATATGTACGAAAAAAAAAAAACTTAAATCTACGTAGGTATCAAATATTACTTGTTTACATTTTATAGCAAATTCCATATTGAAGAAATCGAAATTATATATATTCGTTAAATGAAAATGTTCTACGGTGAAATTTTTTATATTTTTAAAAAAAGTTCCATTGTAAATGTAAATTTTCTTTATTTCACTTACTAATTACAACAGTTTCATATTTACTGATTTTAATTGCATACGCATATATTTGGCGTAGTCCAGGATATTCATTCTACAATATATTGCAGCGAACCACACCATGTGCAATAAACATACATAAAAAATAAGTGAAAACACTGCAATGGGCCGCAGCCTCTTATGGGAAATGAACGAAAAATTGGTCTAATCCTAATCATTTTCAATAGCATTCGTCCTTGGGGCGAAGCTTGGAACGATGGCTTGCCAAACTCCATCATAATGTTTCAAAAATTGCGGCAAGAAAAAAAATAGACAAACAAAAATGCGTAAAATGATTATGGATCGAACGGTGAATCTATTTCAAGTCCATGTGTGCATTGCAGCATACATCCACACAAACTAAACTTACTCTTGTACCACATCACACCACGGCGTACGGTATGCTAAGTAAATTACGCACAGCTAAAATAATATTCTTGCAACGTAGCTCTTTTTAATGATAGGAAAAACTCTTCACATTTCTTTATATGAAAATATTTATTGAAATTTATTGAAGAGTTTGGCAAATATAAACCTTTCATTGTTTATTTTATCCTCGTTTTGGGTTTTTTCGAAAATCTACATTTCTACGGATACCGTAACACGCAATTCACTTAAAAACTTATGCTTTTGCTTTACAAAATTTTTGATACAGTGTCACAGTTTAACATAATTCTTACCCATACCCACTGGTGAAAATTAACAAGCAAGGGATCAAATGGCTGCTAATTAAAAGCGCTCTACCTGATAACAGAAACATCAAACGCCCGGAAAATTTTACTATCTTGTAGTTTGATGATTCTGATGCAGCACCTCTATGTATTTAGTTAGTGCTCTCTGATGGAACGTGATTGTCAAATTGTAGCCTTTTCTCCCAGTTTCCATAAACAGACGGACTATGCATACTATATAGGATGTCTGATGCGTATTTTCAAGTTAACACAAAAATCTAATACAATCCAAATTCCATCAAAGATGGGTATATGAAAAAAAAACAGGTGCTTTTTATAAAAAAAGAAGAAAAAAAAAAAAACACATTTGGTGGCATCTTTTAATAAGAATTTGAATAAAATTTTTCAAAGGACACATTATATGAATTTAGTGCTGAATTTATAATGATTTTATTGGTAATAACAACGAAAATAAACATACATACATACCATTACGACATTTAAGCAAATTATACAGAAGTAGAAGTAAATGCATTACAATAAATATGCACACATGCTGCGAGTAAGAAAAAGGATCACAAATCATTCCACAATAATGAACAAAATCATGATCAAAAATGAACTTAAGGGCACGGTTCATTTATTTATTTAAGAACTTTTCGCTTATAGCCACACCCAAGAGGCCGTGCATCCGCGACATCAATAAATAATTTCTATTTTGCCTTTTAGCTCACGGTATGATTAAAAATTATACAATTTTACTTATGAATATAAAAGAAAAAAGAAAAAAAAACAAAAACAAATAAACAAAGAAAAGAAAATTATCTCGAAAAAAGTAAAACGGATTTTATCGCGCACACGCACACCTATGTATAAATTAAACTAATTTAAAATAATAAAGGATTCAAAACATCTTACAACTAAAAGAAGAATATTTAATATATAAAACGTGTCCATAGAAATGGCTACGCTCGTTTTATGTATATAGGTACATAATAATAACATATCAAAATATCAAAATAAATCTGTTTAAGTACTTTAATTCCACTTAAAGGATATTTCACGCAAAGTAAATATTGATTTGAGTAAAAAAAAAAATAAAAAAAAAAAAAAAAATGTAAAAAAGAAATTTAAACTTGTACAAAGGTGTTTTCCTTGGCATTTGTTTGCTTTAGAAAGATGGTTTTTTTTTTTTCTTTTTTTTCGTTTTACTCTTTTTAATATTTATAAACTGTAGACTTAAGTATTAATTTGTAGCTTAAATAAGGCAATTATGGTGGTAGTGTAGATTTGTTTTAATTTTCTTTTTTTTTTTTTTTTTGTTTTATTTTTTAATTTCTTTTTTATCAAAGAAATATAATTATACTATAAAAATTTTCCGAGTTTAATTCAAAGCGTTTAATGGAATCTTTCATTGTTAATTATGGATAGTTAAAATTATTTTGTTGCATTTGCATGTTTTTTCAAAGTTTTTCATAACGTTGCGATGAAGTTACGTCTGCAAAAAAAAGAAGAAAAAAAAAGAAAATCCAAAACAAAGAAATCAAAATAAATGGAAATTGATTTCAAGCCTTTATAACCGCCCCCGAATAAATAATTAATTAAAATGAAAATAATAATAATAATAAGAATGAATTAATTAATCAACTAAACTATATTTGTAGACAAAGTCTCAAGCCAAAAATTGAATGCAAATATTAAATGTGAAAAGCAAAAATCGAGCAAGCATGATAATTAAAACAAAATAATTAATTTTTATTTGTCCACCCACTACTACTAACAGCTAATAAATAAATAAATATGGAAAACAATTTTTAGTATTTTAAGTCGATCAACAACGATTCATTAATATATATATATATACTTTTTGTTATTTTTGAAAATTTTCAAATCAATCATCGATCAAATTATCAATGAACACAATTAGCTTAAGTTTATTCAAAATTCTATAATTAAATTTGAGAAGGAAGGCAGAGAGGAGAGAACGAAGAAGGTGAACGCATCATCAGGCGCATTTTGAAATTTATTTTTCAAATTTTTCTTAGAGATATATAAACGACAGATTATTTTTACTATCTTACTATTGCAAATTTGTCCCCACTTCGATAACTTTACCATCACAAGAGGGGGATGAATAGTTGAGGCTAAGTTATTTTAGCAAATATTTTTGCATGTTACTCACTACGATAATCACTAAAATCTATATATTGACCTTTAGAGATATACGAAAGTGGTCGAATATTCAATAAATTCTAAATTTTAATTCCATTTCAAATATATGTTAGTATAACATGGCTTATGAATAATATGTGAGCAACATATGAATTAAAATGGAAATTGGCTTTATGACGAGGTTCCATAAATGAAAATATGTATATACCAGGCATGTCATATCCAACTCAGAGATGATCATTTGATTTTTGATTATCATATAATTTTAGGAAACCACAATGAGAAAAATGCGAATTTCGAAGAGTCACGGCACTTATTTTGGCAACACTTATTTGGGCAGGGTTAGTTTAAGTTTGTGATTGAAAAGCACATTGAAAACCTATATTATCTATTTATAATTTGATAGTAACTGAAAAAGTAGAGCATTTATAAAAAATGCTGCTAGCAAGCATCGTGACTCGAAGTAGTTTAATATTTAATTTAAAGAAGAGTACGCACGCATTAAATGAGCAGATGCGTGAGAAAGTTTAGGAGTCCGTTTTTTTTTCGCGTCACGTTCTCTACTTTAATGCCCATCCTCAAAAAAACGTACAAATAAACAAAAAGCAACACAACGCTCGTTATAGGTGTACGAGTTGATTAATTGCCCTATGTAACCGCAACAACGAGCAACATGATAAAGACGTCGCAAATCATCTGTTCATGTGACTTAATAAACATGCTCAGTAACAAAATTGATATTGGAGAGTATTATTGTGAGACTATTTCTTCGAAATGCCAAAGCCATTACCCAGTCAAAATAACTATAATAAGAAAATAGACGATTTTTTGTTCTGACTAGTGATCGGTCACAATCCCAGAATCCCACAATACCAGAATATACTCCTTAGTATTGGGGGATCCATAAAAGAGCTAGAGATTTCTATATATATAGCCAGAGTACAGACTATGCTCATAGCTATTAGACTGGGCATATATGTTTCCATAAACATTGAATACCATCAGGTTTACGCAATGCAGCAAAAATGTTGTGGTTCGTTTTTCTCATGTCCTACGAAAAACAAAATGTAACTAAAACTAACTAACCCGAGAACATTTATTTACAATTCAATGGAAAGTAAATCAAAATTTATAAAAATCTGCATAAATCACCATAAGTAATAAATCTTTTAACAAATAAAAATCAAAAAGTATCTACGTTTATGGAAAATACTAAAATTACCAAAAAAAAAAAAAACAAAACAAAAAACAAAAAATGAACAAACACATGCGCGTACTTATATATAACATAAATAAGTGTCTGCGTCAATATATACTCATATGATATAATAAAATGAACACAAATATATTTAATAATTTTTTTTTTTTTTTTGTTAAAAATGATGAAAATATTTTCAGAAAGAAAGCTTTTCGCAAGATATGGTTCTACATAATATATTTACATCGGTTAAAAGCAAACGGTTGTGCGCAACATATAAACATGAAAATAATATTTCTTTCCACACAAACTTACCGGAACTGTATTGTGTATATTGTTGGTATTGCGGATGGAAATTATGTATAGCATCTGTCATTATATCCTTGGGGTTCATGGTTTCCTAAAGCGCACGATATAAAAAAATGCAATTTTTATAAATTAAATGTAAAACATATAAACAAAAAAAAAAAAAAAAAAAAAAAATTCTGATTTTTATTACTTTTAAACTGCTTGAAATTGACTGCATAGTTACGGAACGGCCATGACCATCGCCAATACAAGTGCGAGCATAAACCTGTATGTATTAAGATATTGTTTTTTTTATTTTTTTTTATTTTTTTATTAAAAAATAGATAAAAGCATCGTTTAAGTCACTTACTTGGTATGGAAAAGCGTAACGTAAAGCAATTGCTGCAAACAACATTTCAATGCATATAAAGAAATTCTGATAGCCAGCCGATACAGTACCGGCCGGAGTAACAGTGCCAGCATTATCAACAATTGGAGAAATAACTTTAGCCTTTTCCAAAATAGCTAAACCAACACCTTTTTTTTTTTTTATATAGAAATATGGTAAAAACAAATTACTTATATAAAAAAAAATTTATTAAAAAAATTGTAAAATTGATAGCGTACCTTGCCAGAACGACAAGAATATAACTGATTTAATGGTACAAAATTTTAATACGGGCTCAAAAGGTGTCAATAAATCACGTGTGGCAAAATAAAACAAATATAAACCATATAAAGCCAATGAAACGGATATATTATAAATAACGGTTATATAAATGTAACCATCATCGGTCCTGAAAATAAATGTAAATATTTTTATTTAATATCTACTCAGTCAAAATGAAATATTGTAAGCTATTTACCTCCAATTGCCATCGCGGTATAGATCAAATACTTGCAAAAATATTATAATAAAAGCCATTAATGGTTTAACTAAACAAAATTGCAGAGTGGCTTGTTTACAAAAACGTAAAAATCCAATTGTGTACGTTTTGCCCTTTAGACAGCAAGTACCGTAAAGGCAAGAGGTTTTGATAGGTTTACCACGTATTTCAGACATTATGTTACCCTCTCCTCCCAGATATTCGTAGCACAAAGACAGAAAATTGTAAATGACAAAAGCTAAGAAAACGAAAAAGAAGAAGACGAAGAAAACGATTATATAAGAATAAAATTTTTATTTTTTATTGATTACCATATATTATTATTATTATTGCTTCATTTATTCTCTCGGTCATCATATTCACCGCACATGCTTCTTACAAACTAAAATATATTTTTTCACTTTCAAAATGTGTTCATCAAAGAAAAACAAAAAAAAAAAAAAAAAAAAGAGCAAGTAAGAACGCTATGGTTGGCCACCACTCGTCGATCTACAGTTATTCATATAATGACTTTGCCAAATAACGCTCTATAAAGGACATGGTCGAAGAAATGGGCCGATTTGAAGTATTTTCAGTAGCGTCCGCCCTTGAGCCAAAAGGTTAGCGTAGCAAATTTCATTAAAATAGCTTGAAACTGACGACCTAACTCTCTCTCTCTTTAATCCCGATCAATATGGAGAGTTGTCTTTGACTTAAGAGTTTTTCATTATACGAGAGTTGAGCATCAAATTTAGAGCATATTTTTACGAAAGGGAGAGAAATTTTTGTGCTTTATTTTTTATTTTTAGTGGCGGATCAGTTGTTTGCATAAACTTTACGAGTAGGGTTTAAAAAAAATATTTGCAAACACCTAGACAAAGTTTAAGGATCGGAAAGCAATATCACATCCGTACCATGACTTAAGAGGGTTAAGAGTGTGAAATGCATACATGCATACACATTTGCATGTTTTTTTACATTTGAAATATCTATGATGGATGTTGAACAAAATCTGTGCAGAAAGTTATCTTTTTGATCTTTAATTGATGTCAGCGATATTAATAACCATGCAGAGAACAAAACTACGGAAAATGTTTGGGCAGACCTAGTTTCAATTGTTTACAATAATAATTTGATCTTTTAAATGTGATTAAAGTATAACATAACATTATATAGAATAAAAGCAATTTACTCACCTTCATAACAATCTCGCACCGTAAAAAAGTAAACATAAACATTAGCCGAATTAAAAAATAATAAACTTATCCACGAGTATGTGGCATATATGGGCACAATAAATAGTATGCGCACTATCCAACGTTGTTCTTGAGGATTTGTATACCAACGCAAGTGTTGATAAATCTAAATCGAATCGAAAGCGAAATATGAGAAAGCGCATGAATAAAATGAAAGCGAATAAGATATCAACCTATGGTAATTATAATAAAAACACTAATTATAGGAACCCACCTGTTGGCATGTTATGAATAAAGCGGCCCAAACAAATATACCAGCTAAACCTTGTGCGGTTTTTGTTTGTAGGAAAATGCCATCACCCACATGACTTAGCGGATCTATGGGTGCAGATGACATTTGTGCAGGTGACATTTGTACCACGTAATTGGGCTTTGAGGGTGGTGTAGCATTCACCAGTGCGACTGTAGCTGAAGCGATGGCAACAACAGAAGCAGTTGCTGTTGTTGTGCTTATACTATTCGTATCATTAAATGCGGCGGCTATGGTGATAGGTGTGGTCATACTTTACACGCACAATCGTAATTAGTCACTAGAAAATTGAAAAAATATTAAAACCAAACCAGTTTAATGTCTAACGAGAATCCAATGTATACCAAATCTAATAATAAATGTTAATAAAAGAAAAAATAATAATAATAATAATACAATAATAAAAACAAAAATAGAAAGAAAAAAAAAAAAAAAAAAAAAAAAAAAAAATAAAAAAAAAAAAACTTTAACTCAAAAATTCTCAAAAAAAGAAAACAAAAATTATTAACGTTATACACAATAAAAAAAAAAGAAGCGTTTATCGCGTTCCTGATAAAACAGACAAAAGCATTTTTATCGATGTCGTCCCCGATAAAGATGCAAACAATTTTTCAAATGCCATTTATTAACGTACTAATTATTCGCAACGTACAGAACAGTATGCTGAATCTCTTCCTGCACTAAGAGTCTCAAGCGTTTCAACATAATAAAGACAATTGAACTGCTTTCAGATGTTATCCTAAATTTTTGAATTTCATATTGATGACTAGATTAGGATGCGTTTGTAAGAACAACCGATTGAATGCATTACAGAAGAAAATATTTTAATCTATAATAGAAGGAACGATTAAATAAACTATGTCTCAATATGCTGAGGCCGGCTTCAAGTTGTTTCCACCATTCTAGCGGCGTAGTTCAAAATTTTTCTTAGCAAATTCACCAACGAAATACCGAGATACCGTCACTACCTGATTTTTTTTTAAAAGACACTCTTCTAGGTCGGAATTGTTATCCTCTGAAACCAATTTCGGCCACATTTTTCCCGTAACAGAAGAATTTGAAGAAGGTTTTCTTTCATCTCCCAAAATAATTCTCTTCTTAAGCAATGTAATTTATCCTATTTTTCTAAACTCTCTTACTTCATGTCTTATTCTCTTATCTACGGATGAAAATCGAGAACATAAACAAATTAACAACATACAAACATACAAACAATTATATAGGAAATGTGCATTCAAAACGTTATCGATATTTTAAAAATATTGTAATTATATTCCTGTTCGCCTCTTAGCCTAAAATAGTTCGCAACGTTTAGCATCAAAAATTTTCCAAATAAAAATAATGGGCATAAATTCTTCTTTTTATTTTTATATTTTCTAGAGATAACTCTTGCACTTCTTTCATCATGGGTACGCTCTCCCATTGACCCCTCGTACTTCTATGAACGAAAGGGATTTCTAAGCGATTGGTTCCGTGAATAAAAGCAGTGCTTTTCAAACTTTAAAAAAGAAGTGCACGCAACTAAAATTACGGGCATAATACTCCCGGCCCCAGAAGGGGAAAGTGTGTATTTGGCAGACACTCATATAGACGAGGCCAATCTAATATCTCATTATGTAATGCGAAATTCCCCTAAAGGGTGATTGCCACCACATTCTGCACCATACATACGAGGAGCAGTACACTTTGAATAGCTTGACCCGCGTGGACTAGGGAAATTAAATGATACATAGCTCTGGGCAAAACTACAAAAGATCCTCTTTTTTTAAAAAAAGAAAAGATATCCCGGCTTCCCATCTCCCGAAATCATACATAGAGTGATCTTTAAAAATTTCTTACAAATACCTTAACAATTTTCGTTGTTAAATAAAATATGCCTCCTTAATTGAGGAGGGTACAATCTAAGTCACATAGGTACACTACATCTTGAGCTGTTTAAAGGTGAAATTATAGTTTTATTTACTTAAACTAGATACCTCCATTATACAAGGGATATATTTCGATGGAGCTTATTAAGGATTTAATGTAAGTTTTTAAAAAAAAAAAAGAAAAAAAAAAGCGTTTTTGAATTATAAAATGAAAGCTAAAAGACGGCAAAAGCCTCAAGAGAATTGTAAACGAGGCAGACACATTTATGAAATCCACGAATAAAGAAAATTAAAGTAATATTTATTATATTTGTTTGATGCACAAAAGAAAAACAAAATACATATATAACTGAACTTCAATTTATACAATATTTGCGAAGAGTTTATTTAAAAAAACATCATATAAGAGAGAAGCACAACATTATTATTCTCCGACACTATCACGTCAAAATAATAGCTTTTTCTCTTTCGTATGCATTGCATTCGAATTGCGGTATATATATATATATATATATATATATATATGCTTCATAAAACATGCAAATGTTATATTTTAAGTGTGTATTAGTAGCTATGCGGATATACTTTAACATATATGCACAAGTGAATAGAACGAGTTAGTCGATACGAATCGTCAAGTCTTAGAAGCAACGGTAAATGTAGATGAAAAGATAATAAGTGGGTGGGAGAGAAAACATAAGGAAGGCAAACGGGGCCAAAAAAGAAACAGAATAAATGAATGGTAACACACGTAGCATTATAACTTTGAAGGAAATTGTTATTGAGAACATATGACGATAATAAATATTTGGTCAGGGTCATCTACGCGAAAGAGTTTGTAATATAACCTTAAAACCGTGTATTGTATGCGTCGCCCTATAATTACACTATAAGTATATATGTGCGGGCCGTGAAGGTAAACATTTCTTTACATACTTTTCATTATTTTGATGTAAACAGAAGAACGAATTACTTAAACTCAACTAAAAGTAAAATGAAAGCCTATGAAACGAAAACTTATACTCAATTATCAATAATATGATTAATAAAGTAGATGACCTTGGGGGGATCGTTCTAAACATATATTAAATACCCAATTAAGTTGCTAGCTTTCGCCCATAGCCTTATATGGGGTATAGCGAAATAATTAAGTGTTGCAGGGAAGAAGAAAAACGTATCGATCGACAGTCATCCCAAAAAGTAAATAAACTAATTGTTCGGTTGAGAGCGATTTTTTTAATATTCATTGACCGTAGCATCAAGAAAAAAAAAAACTGTAGAAAGCTGCTTCTTGCAACAATAACGTTATATTTAATGGCTCCAAAAAAAAAACAAAAAAAATATTTATACGAATTCTTACGATAACTATTTGTCACAGATTGTAAGTTTGCATCTTTCTGGCTATTGCGGGCGGTATTTACTTAACACAGCTACGCCAACTGGAAAACTCGTCCTGTAACATTGCTCGAGAACATATATCTGAAAGTGAGTGCCCGCTTAAAGAAATCTAAAGAAAAAGGAAAGATTACTCGCCCTTTTCGATAATGCAGAGAATTAAAGGAAAACAAATCGAATGACTGTGATTATGAGAAACTATTCGCAGAATGCGTTGACGGTTGCGAACTTATCGACTTAATGTGCGGAAGCGTTGATTCATGTACAAATTTATCGCTATATTTATAGAGACCTCAAATAATGTTCAATTATAAGAAGAGAAGTTAACTTTTTCTTCTATATTAAAAAAAATATATATAATTAATTACATTAAAAGAAATAAAAGTAAAAACATTAATAATAATAATAATAATAATTCAAGGAACAGCAATTTCTTGCTTACTAATCATAGACTTTAAACAATTGATCCTTTTGTCGCCCTACAGATTTCATTCAAAATTCGTAAACTGGCGGACAATCGCATTGCTACACTTCCGTGCGCTTTTTCCATATCTCGCTTTAGTCCAAAAGAATTACTGCTCAAAGGACCATTTAGATGAATGGCGAACATTCATCTATAGAAAAGTACAACTTTCGCATAAATTTCTTTAGGTCTACTGTTCCTCAACTGAAAGCTTCAAACTTATGAAGGGATCTCAGGAAGCGTTGGCAATATTGTAAGACCTTTCTATCCAAAAATTCAAAGCTCACTACTTTTTACCTCAACTAAGGAATCAAATTTTTCGAATTTATGGATCCATCCATAGGCACTGCTAATAATGACACTCTATCTTTACAGTTGGTCGTAGAGAGAAAACATTGCAAACCAATTAATTCTAATAAATTGAAATTCAAACCCAAATCTTAAAATGACAGATGGTATAGACGGATAAGCACTGATTTCATTTCCAAAATATAATTGGATCGAGATGAATAGCAGGAATAACATTTTGTGGTATTTTACTTTAAACTTTAACTTATATATCAACCGATATTCATCGTGTTGCTTACAGCCAGTTAAATATGCTTGCATCACTTGGAAGACGTATTGGACACAGCAGCCAATTCCAGAGGCGTGTACTATTTATGCAAAATAGCTGATCTGATATCCTTATGCTTTGCGCCTTAATTCAATTATTTCAACCCCTTTACTAGGTCTTGCCTTTTGCAATCTATTGTATAAAATTCTGATCGCTGTCAATAAGATAATCGCCGGCAATAAATAATACAAATATTTTCCTGTTCTGTCAACAACACGACAACGACATTCCAACGAATCATCCAACACATGCTGACACATTGCCGCAACATTCCAACGCATAGACATGTCTAACGGATAACCTGAGCGTTCTGTGGCTTGCAGAGTCTATAATAGCTCTAGCACTATACAGCAACGTAGGCATTAAATATTGTTATGCTAAGAGATGGCGAATTTTGGAAGGTGTTGGATAAATGTTGCAGGCAAAGTGATCTGAGGAAATCGTATATCTTGCCAACTATGGCACTTACGTGATCGGACTAAATCAAGATTTCATTGTCAGTGATTCCCAAATTTTTGAATATCTTCACTATATGTATATTTGTTCGCCATTCAGCATTACGACGTGAGCAGTAAAAATGTGTCACTCTTTCCTGTACGGCCTTTTCCCCTCCCCTTTGAAAACAAATCAAAAGCAATAACAAAAATTTCGAAAATATATTTTAAAAAAATTTTTCGATGACTACATGCATGCGAGAAGAGAATAATGTAATAATGTGGAAATAAAAGAACCTTTTATGGATGATATGCGTTGAAAATAAGGCAAAGAAATTCGTATCGAATATTTAATACCCAGTACTTCGCAAATAATTTAAATAATTATGCAATTAGGCAACGTCTTATGTAATTTGCACATTGATAATGAGCATTTGAATAAGTGCAATTTATAAGATCGAATGTAAAACTTTAAAAGCAACGTTTTATTTATATATAAACATGGACGCGTTCTTCGATATCTTTGCATCATTTTCATTTCATCAAATCCTTTCGCAACTTCGTAGACGATACCTTCATTTTTACAGGTACTACGCAATTGCGCAGATGGATAGATGAACGGACGGGCATGCTTGGATGCATTACCAATTTGAAACTGAAAAATAATATATATATTTATTTATTTATTTATTTTAATTCTACTTATACTAGAAACTCAACTAAACAAATAACAGTTGAGTTCAATTGGCCCATAATGCAAAACATATTAATATTAATTAATAATAAAATTCAGTATGAGTATAATAAAACAAATAAGAAGAGAAAAGAAAAAGAAAAAAAGCATGTACACTATCAGCATAGAGCCACACGTACAACCGGTACAGGACCCAATTGCAAATGAACCCCTAAGCCATCGCAAACATGCACAAGACTGGCAACCGATAATAATTAACAAGAATTCATTTTCGAATCGTAACGAATTTTTATGGTTAAAAGCTAGTTTAAGTACGACATAGGTAAATCGCGCGTATTAAGCAATGTTGCTTTAATGGACTTTAAAGAGTCCGATAACGAGAATAAGTGGTAGACGTCATTTAGGTTCTTGCAAACGACTCTGAGCGGATTAAACAGCTCATAATTAAATTTACACTGACTAAGCTTAACCAAGATACCAAGCTTAACCAAGATAATATATATATGCGGGGTTTTTATTGGTACTTAAAAGAAAAATATGAAATTATAAAGCGTTATAAAATTGAGTAAACGTGACTGATATTAGCAATTTTTGTAGAAGTACTACAGTATTGGGTATAGAATATGCGTTCAAATTTTTTTGTCCCTTTATCTATCCATTTATGTAATTTATGAGTAATGAGTAAAAAACCGAATTTTTATTCCTTTTGAGTAATAAAAGTGTCCTCACCAATCAACGCCCAATAACTTCCACTGTTCAGCTGCACTTTTGCGGCCAGGAGAATATTTACAGCAGACAGGCTGATATGCTTAAATCGATTCAGAATTTGATGCTGATCAAGAATATGAAGCTATGAAGCTTCCTTCTTGTGGGCTTTGCAAACGCTCTGATAAAATGAATATACACCTCATCCGTCGGTGATGGGTATAATAAACCTGTTGTTAGTTTCTTGCCTTATCTGATTTTTGATTTTTGATGTGGCTAGAATGGAAGGGTAACCTTCGAGGTAAAATTTTTTCTTTTAAATTAAATTTTTTATTTCATGATTTCAGAAGACAGATCAACGATATGACTAAGCCGATGTCTGATAACTTTTTTAATCGAGGATACTTACACCCTTTAGGGATTTCTATGCTCATCTTTTTTTTTTTTTGTTTTTTTCTTCTTTCTTCTCTTCTCTTTCCCTTTATCTTTTTCATATCCTTTTATATTATATTTGGTAAATTTAATATACATCTTGTGATCTAGATAATAATTGGAATGATTAGATTTTATATTTGACTTTATAAGGAAAATACAAAGAAAATGATTTGAAATTTTCATCAAATATTTTAATCAAACTGATTTAAATTAATTCAAATAGTTTAAAAACATAGCCCAAAATTAATATTTTTATACACATTTCATGTTCTTCGGTTCGTAACAAACACGAGTCCCCATAAAGGCAACATTCTGAATAAATCACAGGTTCGCTTGTCTGTCTGTCTGCCTGACATGTGCTGCCGGAACTTTTGCGCTCGTAAATATTATTAAAATACTATAAAATTATTATATTAAAATATTATAAAATACAACTTTACACACATATTTTGAAGTAAAAATCCGTAAAATACAATTGATAGTATACGTTAGTCGAAAGTTTAAAGCGAATATTTAAAAAATATATTTGCAACCGGTCAACAACAAACTTTAACTTATGAATTGCCCGAAATACATAATACAAACAAGTCCTAAGACATCTAGATGGACATGGAAAGAAAAGTTTAAGCTGACCGAATGCGATCATTTCTACTTCTATGTATTAGCCTAAAATGTTGGGTAGGAAACCTTCGATCCGATAAGATATATATATTCTCATTCAATAACAGCATAACTTCTTTCGTTATTTCCACTAAATTCTTAATTGTCCAGTCAACGAGCCTACAATGAACCAATTATTACGCAATTTGCAATTATTGCCCGGTGATGCTGGGCATCGCAAGCTATTCTTATTTACCTGATTTTAATATTATTAGTCTTGAAAAACTATATATAAGTCATACGCTAAGTTCGTTCGTTGTTTCGCTGTTAGACGTGTCTTTTTGAGCGAATTGATGGTCACTGATGTCAATCATTCATCCCATCTCAGTTTTTTATAAATGTGATAGCTCCATAAATAGCCAAATAGTCAGACGGAATATTAAAAATCCATGTACACTCATTCTCCAATAGTAGGTATAGAAAAACGTTATCCCAAAAAGTATCATTTTTAGAGAGATAATGAGATAAGAAATTAAAAAATGATAGCAAATTTATCATATTCAACATAGGTCTAATACTCGAATGGCATATATATATATATATTGTATTTTATGCCGCCCAATTGTAAATATGAACAAGGACGGTAAGCCGCGCACGGCAGTAACTTTGAGCGAAATGGATATGGCAAACATTTTATTATAAAGGAATAGAACTTTGATATACTGCCATAATGCAAGATACACATAAATGTTAAAAAAAAGTTTCACATATATGGGCATGTATGAGTTGTTCGTAAATATTTTTTAAAACTTCAAGTTAATTTAATTTTTTTTTTTTTTTAAATTTCAGCGGCCATGTTATTTGCTGCTTGTGGTAAAAGTTGAAATTAAAATAATTTTATAAGTGAACGCATTCGTATACGTTTAGAGTAGGGTTAATGTAGACTGATTATTAACAAATTATTAAATATACGTAAAGGCTTCGGCATTTTAAAAGACATCTTAAAAGGCTTGCATAAATTTCCACATATACTTACATATACGCGCATATATCTATATATAAACACTTCGTATAAGTCAATTGCCGATTTGTAAAAAAAAACAAAACCGTAATTTATTTTAATCATAATTTCTTGCTCACTCTTTCGGCAGCGTACAATTCAACAACCGCTGAAACTTTTTCTTTATCAAATATCTAGCATAGCACAAGACGTTCTGTTTTTTTTGTTATAATTTAATTTTCTCTTAGATTTAGCAAAATCTTTAAAAACCATTTACATCGAAGAAATAAAAAGCACTTAAACGTTCACTTCCCACTACTCGAGAGAACACCAACTTTTTTATTTCGTATTTTGGTATTTCTCAAGCATGCACAAACAAACAAGACAAAAAAAATGGCAACATAAATATACCCACTGAAAAACTCTACATGCATCGAAGCTACACTTATACATGCCATACATTATTAGCTAAATAGTGATGCATAAACAGCTGTCTCTCATTGAAAATTCCTTAAACAATAACGCAAGGGAAACGCACTTGCGTTGTTGCATTAACTTTCCTTCTTTTCTGGTATGTGTGTAATATTTATTTATATTAGATATCGCGCAATATATTCACTTACCTCTTCCTATTTTTTTTTTTTATATTAATTTTATTAATTAATAATTAATAATTTTATTGTTTCAAAATTTTTTTCGCAATTTTTTTTCTAATTTAATTCTGATTAAGATGATAGAGTTGCCTTAACAAGCTTTAACTTCTCTTTAGAACGCGCACACACACACACACACATACATAGACACAACAACTCGTATCATACAATTTTTTTTCTGCAATTTCGTCACTATTTTCTTATTGCAAATTTGTAACAATAATAACGTGTTGATATTTTAGCAAATTTTTGTGCTACTCGTTTTTAGGAGACGTTAACTAATAGACTTAATAATATTTTTTTATATGATTTCTACAAAACTTTACGCACTTTTAAACAAAATTTAACAACATCTTCCACAAGGCGAACGAAATTTACCTGTGAAATAGTCCGCGTTACCATATTGCGACATTTTACTATTATTGCATGCATATGGTTTACTCAGTTGAGAGTATGATTACTTTGAAAAATAATGACTTGATCGTATGTGATCGGAATTTACATTATGACGCATTTTAATTATTTGTTCAGCGGCCCGTTAGATACAGCCTGAAATTAATTTTTTAAATTTCTAACAATTATGGCATTGAAAAAAAGACGTCATTCAATAAAGTGTGAATTGTTGAATAATACTTCTACTCTACTAATAAAATAGTCGAATAACGTCTTTTCTCGGAAATAAATTTTTTAAAATTATTTTGCCAAACTGATTACATGTATTGAACAAATTCTTCCATAAAATCTTATATACCCTCTTGATCCTCTTGAACATATACACAAAGCTAAGCCGAAAATAAAGCTTGGATATGGCCATTGCTCTCATGAGAACTGAACATAAACTTTTATTATTTTTCTTCTTATTCGTGTACCAGCCATTTGTAATGAATTGAACATCGCCTATAGATTTTTATCATGAAAGCTCGTAAGTGTATTAGTTGAATTATTCAGTCATTTCTAATTAGAAATGAATTAGCTAAGTCGCCAAGTTATATGAATCAGATAAAAGGTCGTAGGTATGGGCAAGAATGGAATTCTTTTCAAATATTTCTTTGCCTTGCTTTTCGTCTACTTTATCTTTTCATCTTTGCAACTCTCATAGTTGCATTTTTCCGTACATATTCTCTTCCTATTTAATCTGTACTTTCATGTAATCCCTAAGTTGGATTATATTTTTACTGTTGGCAATATACATTGTGCAAAAAATGCAATTATTTGATAAAAGCGTAGAATATATAAGCGATACACCTCTCGACAACAGTTAAGTGATTTGTTATTTTATACACCAATTGTGAAATAAGCAAACGGGAAAATGTCTGAAACAAAGAATGATGCTAATCCTCCGTCATATGAAGAAGCCATGCAGGCACCTTTGGAACCACCAACAATGGGCAAGTTTTCTATTACAAATACAAACATAAATATATTTATAATTAATCATACCTTCTTTTTTATCTTATTGTTTAAAGCTTTGAAATATCCCAACTCGCATGAGTCAACTCAGCAAGCACCTAATCCGTATATAAATCTAGGTCCACAACCATCACTAGATCAGCAACAGCATTATGCGAACGCTACAGCACCTAACACTTCCAGCCATACAGGTTGCTATGGTCAAGTGCCTTCGTATGGTGCGTTCGAGTCAACGCCAGTTAACGTGGTTATAAGTCAGCCGCTTACCGTTCCCCCTGAAATCATTATTATTGGTGGCTGTCCAGTTTGTCGTATCGGCATTTTAGAAGACTCTTTCCCTCTCTTGGCTCTATGCTGTGCAATTGCCTTCTTTCCGGTGGGCATACTTTGTTGTATAGCAATGAAAAACAAACGCTGTTCCAATTGTGGTGCAGAATTTTAGTTTTTCAAACAGATCCATTCAACATTCGTAAGCAAGCGATATTGATTTTATTGATTAAAAAGCTTTATAATTCCTTTCTTTTTTTTTTGTTTTGTTTTGATTTCGAAACTAAAGAGTTTGCATGACGGCCAGGCTAAAAAGCCTTTAAAATTATCATTGTTACTAATTTGTACACCACGGTATAAGCATAAATACGAAAAAAAAAAAATGTGTTGTATATAGTTAAGCATTGTATCCATTTCCACATTGTATCTATGTATATATGTATGTTTAACATTTGTGGATTTTCTTTTTATATAAATGGTTTAATTTGTCCAGAAAAACAATAAATAAAAGAATGAAAGCAAGACAATAGATGTGTGCAGTATTAGTTGTGCTGCTTGGTAGACGCTTAACGATCCGAGATTTATCATGAACCAGTGAGAATAGCGACATATTGTGCACTAGACGGATTGAATCTTATTAAGTTTACTTTTACTATTAAGTTACAGATTTTACGGGGAAAGTAAAAGTGTCGCTGATTATTAAGCATACATGCATCTGTCCGATGAGAGATGTCGACATAGTGCTGGTCGACATATCGCCATTATTTAAATTATTCACGTTGATCCTGAAATATTGCTGCTGGTGATGCTTGAGGTCGTTGTGACCGCACTTTGCTGCTGACTGAAAATAATAGAATTTCAGGTTGAGTTTAATTGCAACGGCGTCGGAAGATAACTGATTATAACTGAGCTTGAATTTATCATAACGTTATCCATTACCGATAAACCAGCCTGGTATGAAGTTGATGTGATTTAAATTACTATAATCATTCACTTGTTCGCAATATATTCAGAGCAAAAACAACAATTGATATAAGAGAGGTTCTGCTATAAGGCAAAAAGTTGAACTTCTTTTTTTCCCTGCCGGCTAATCTGATTGAAAATAACTTACATTATGATGGCAGAAAGCAAAGGATTACTTGAAAGTATTTGACAATCGTAATACTTTGAAACTGTCGAACGAACTTTCTAAGTTTTATTTTCATAAAAATAGATTAGTACGAATTTTATTAACAAAAAGCGCGCATGATTTCAGAGAGGGTAAAAGGAAAAGATCGGCCTTGGGTAATGAACGGCGTTTATATTTTAAATGATGCCAGATGAGTTATAAAAATTCTTTCCACGGAAAATGTGTAGTCTGCTTTTAAAAAAATGAAAAACTGTGTGACAGAACATGAACGCTGATTAAGAGAAAGAGAATAACAAACACATTTCATTGACGAGCAAAGTTTTGCTCAGCAATGATAAAACCATGTACACCTTAAATTACACACTGCCGTACAACCGCTTTAAATTAAAAAATTCCCCTGCTCATGTAAACAAAACCGAAGTATTCGAAGCACTCGGAGATTTCAGTTAAACACAATAACATCAAGTATTTTTGCAAATTCTCTTCGTATCACATTTTCTCATTCGACATACGAAAGCCATATTTTTCTTCGATATGTGTCGTTCTGTCATGAATTTCACAACATGCGACCAAATATTGTATAGTTAGTTAATCAACCTGACGAACCTGTCATCTGTAATCAATCCTTAACGTAATATAATGTAAAAACTGTGAGTAACATTACAACCTTAAAGATTGAATATATTCGCGTCATTTCACTCCATACATTGGCCGTAGACATAACATACAATTAGCTATCAAAAATTTTTACTTTTTTCGTTTAGAAGGTAGGTATAGATTATTCTGTTGGTTTTTCTATTCAAATTTTGTCGAAAATTTTTTCTGATTATGTAATTTCATGAAATCGTAAGACCCGATATTACAATAAAATTCAATGTGGACATCGTTTTGAACAAAAGTAATTTGAACTTTCTTTAGCGTTCTCTGCAATTTCCTTCTATTATTTTCCTAAATTATTCGCTTAAGGATTAAATTAGCTAAAGGTACTTTCTTCAACCGTTTATATGAAACTCGATTTTTTCCATCCATAAATACGTTGGATAGGGGAGTATTCACTTTATTTTTTACAATTTTTCACTTAACTTCAAAAGAAAGCTCATTTTAAGAGGAAAGAAAAAAAAAACCTAATTTACTCTAAATTAAAAAGAAGGAAAGGAAGAAAGGAAATTGCATGGGCGGGCGAATCAGGAATCTAGCCTTAGTGCCGACACAATTCAGGTTCGTAAAGACGTTCTAGTCTTTCGTCAGATGCGCTTAGATGTCGCTTGAAGGCGTGAACTCGTTGCAATCTTTACTCCTCTCTTACACGACTCGTTTGATGATAATTCTCAACTTTTGCAAGTTGCCACTTTTTGGAGCAATTTTCGTGCAGAGTGATGAAACGCGGTGACCTAAGGGAACTACTTAAATTAATTGATTTCCAATAATTCGCCATAGTTTTAATATTCATCAGATTGCTTTGTTAACCAGCATTATCCAAAGAATTATCTTTATCCCATTGCTGTTGAGGTGTTATTTGTTTTCGTCTAATTTTCGTATCTGTAACAATAAAATTTTGTGAATTTCGAAATTCTATCTTCTCGTCCATATCGATCGCTTTTAAGGTTTTTTTTTTCAAGTTTGTCTTACTCACTTCTCATTGCTTCCGACATTCCTTGAACTGATATTTGCTTCCTTTAGAGCACTGATTAAATAAATTGCGTTTATTATATTACAAGATATTTATTAAAATTATTAATATAGATTTATTGGTGTGTCTGCTTTTTTTTCTTCAAAATTTTCCCGCTATAATTTATAACAAAATAAAATGTTTAAAAAATAAATCTTTTCACACTTTCGAGCTTTGCGACAAGAACAATATATATAAGAAAACAAAATGAAAAATTATTTTTACGTTATATATATAGATTCTGAGTTGATTTTATGGCCTACTCTGTAGATAATGAAAAAAAATTTTTTTTTGAAATGAACAAGTTTTTACAAACATTGAAGTAAATCTCAAAGATTGTTTTAAACAAAGTTTAGTGAGTGCGTTGAACTACAGTAAAAATTCCGTATTCACGGGGGAATACAGAAACCGCGAATACGGAATTCGGGTTGGGTACCTATTAGAATCCTTTTATTCTTATGTATGTACTTATTAGAATTCGCGAATAAAGAAGTTTATAGCCGCGAATAGAGGAATTGTATCGCATTTTTTTAATCCGCGAATAACGAAACCGCGAATGAACGAAGCACGAATAAGGCACTTTCACTGTATTTCATATTTCTATATATATATATGTTTTTATTGCTTTATGTTTGTGGAAATTAACAAATTGGCTATTAAATCAAATAGAATTCCTTTTTAAACAATAAATCGAAACATTATTATTATTATTATTTCTATTATAATACATTTAGCCAAAAAATAAATTCTAAGACTAAAAGTCTTAAAGCACTAGCATATCTAA